AGTTTAACTTCCATACATTGCCGTTCACTCCCTTTCAGACCAAATTTGTGTGTAGAACGCAACACGTGTTTATTTCCAGAGCCATAATTAAGAAAACTGAAAAGGACTGTAATTTTTTTGGTGAAACGTTTTATAAATCTCTGTGATTATCATTAAATCCACAAAAATGTGCCCCTGATCGGTTCAGCCATTTTGACGTTTATTGCATACAAACGAAAAGACAGACAAGCAAAGTATACATATATAAATCATAATCATATTCATGAATTCTATTTAGAGAACATATTTCCATTTTAGATATTTAATCCTCCAATGTGACTTTATCTACGTAATAACTATTGAATTAAGAATAATAAACTGAAAAATAGAAAATAATTATATCCGGCCTCCGGATGACAACCATGTTTGACGCACATACATGTCAATCTCAGCCAGGCTTATTAAAAATTAAGAAGTATCAGAAATTATAATAGGATATGAATTAAGGAGCAAAAAATATATACTTTGATTCATCATTTTTCTTTATTTTGATTTGATTTCATCACCATGATCAAACTTTAATCATTCCTGGTATTCTTTTGTTAAATCTTTTTCTACCATGCATAGTGATCCAATGGTTGCAAGATTTCACGCACATTTTTGAAGAATTTTTCTTCTTAAAAACTTAAATTTAGAGGGCCCCGTCAAATGTTTTTTTTCTAGGTTTAAAAGTGTTAGATTCAAATAATTCCTGTATGTATTCCTGCTGTAGAAATGCACAAGTCACTTAAATGCTGAGAAACCACTATTGAAAATCCTAAAAATTGATATCTAGGTCATACTTGATCAGACAACACTTATAAGGGTACCGCTGTGAATCAAGCATTGTCATCTTTGCATGGAGGGTCAGCTGAAATCACGCTGGGAAACTTTGTATGCCGGGTCCAAGATCACTAGGAGAGTAGTGATGGGCATAATTTTAACTAGGAGTAGTGATGGGCATAATTTTAACTAGGAGTAGTGATGGGCATTTAAATAGAAGTAGTGATGGGCATTATCTTAACTAGGAGTAGTGATGGCCATTTTTTGATTTAGGAGTAGTGATGGGCTTTTTTTGAACTAGGAGTAGTAATGGGCATTATATTAACTAGGAGTAGTGATGGGCATTATTTGAACTAGGAGTAGTGATGGGTATTAATATAACTAGAAGCAGTTATGGGCCTTATTTTAACAAGGATTAGTGATGGGCATTATTTTAACTAGGAGTGATGATAGGCATTGTTTGAACTAGGAGTAGTGATTGGAATTATTTTAACAAGGAGTAGTGATAGACATATTTTTAACTAGGAGTAGTGATGGGCATTCTTTGAACTAGGAGTAGTGATGGACATACTAGGAGTAAGGGAGAAACGAAAAAATTTATTCAAACAAACAAAAATTTCTCTTTAAAGAAATTTAGTCTTAGCCACAAACTCAAACTTTCTAATCCCTATATCATTGCAATCTGATGGTGATATTTCAAATTTTTGATCTATCAGAATTCATAGTTTGAAATATCTAAGCAGTATACGAACATGGGCTGCAAAAATATTGGGATTAGAAAATATTGGTTTGGACAAAGACTTGGTACTCCCAACCAAACGAAATGTTTCATGACACAAATCAAAATCAAAATTTATCAGTATTGTGTATTTATAATGACATACTAGGTCAGTCACAATAACGTACTTTGGCCACTAGATATTCCATTTTAGATTCTCATCTCATAGTTAGTTAGAGGACGCACACAGTTGGAGGCGTCATCTGGTCGAACATTGTAATATTGAGAAGAAACGTACTCAGATCTTCCAATGCCGCGTATAATTGAACACATGCTGAATGCAGCTGAATAAACACGTGGTTATATAACCGGTTTCCACCAGACCAATTCCGTTCCTGAAACCAGGAAGTACTGTAGGATATGATCTAATATATTCTATATGGAAAATTTATTCTTTTGTGTAATTTAAAAAGGGTAATCATCCCTGCATTAAAAAGTTCTTTTTTAATACTTAAAAATTAGCATTTTATAAGATACCCTACAATCATTTGATGTTTGAAATTCCCTAGATACAGTCTATATTGTTCAGACAAAAACGTTGCATTAAAGGGACTAATGTCGTAATTTCAAGTGAACCTCTTCTCTTCTTAAAGAGATACATACCAAATACACAATGGTGCCCTTGAGCAAAAGTTGTTAATCGTTTTGTTTTGGTTTTGACCGGGTTTACTGACTCTTGAATGGTTCCACAAAAGCAAAGAAGTTCTACAAATATTCTGAACATTTCACTTTTTATACTTTGCACAATTATTAAGACTGAGTGATATATCTTGTAAATGGTCTGCTTTTCCCAGATAAAGTTTAATAAAAGCCAACTTTAACAGAATACAGTTTTGAAATCTTGAAGTTAGAACCACAACAACTAGCAATCTTGAGTACAGTGACACAAACAATGCTAAAATGAAGATATTTTTTATTTAATTTTCCATCGTTAAATAAATTCCAAAGTTACTGTCCTCAGAAAACCCAAATTTGAAATTCATCAATTTAAAGATAAAGTCAAACATTTTGCTCTGATCAAGATTTTATGTCTTGTGAATCGAGTATGAACACGTGAACAGTCCCTTTAAATAGTCTAGAGCTTTGCAGCATTCTTCTACGTTTTGGAGTTTTTTTATCATTGATCTCGAATGAGATAGACCGAGGAAGGACAAAGCAAAATTATTTTACAAAAAATGCATTTTCATTCGATTTCATGCAGTTTGTGCAACTTATATCTCCGTTCAGGATGGCCGTGGCTGCGGGTGCAATTTGCTTTTTGGAGCAAATCTATTCTTTCAAAATTGTTTGTAAAAAATATAATGTTTACTCATAATTTAATATTGTTTTAGTCTCTGAACCCGGGCAATATCTTCTTTAAATTGGATTTTAACATAATTAGTTTTTGTACTCTTTGGAACTATTGGAACAATCCCATGATTGCTGGTTATACCGAGTTCCCAAACGAAATTTGAAGCAAATCGACAGAAAAGTTCCTGAATTATGATTAGACATAAAAAACAGACAGAAAAACCGGGATTACTACTTTATATGTATAAATAGGGTGGTGCATTAAAAAATCACATTCGCAAGTCCCTTTTGTAGAGAAACCACATTTGAAAAAAATCAGTTTTCAAAATCATAACCATTGACATCTAATTCATACTTGATATCAGAAAAAGTTGTTAAGGGTACCGCTGTGAATCGGAAATTGCCATCTTGCACACGTCACAGTTTTCTAGTTTGGTTCTGCAAATGTCACAGTTTTCTAGTTTGGTTCTGTAAATGTCACTGTTTTCTAGTTTGGTTGTGTAAACGTCATAATTTTCTAATTAGGTTATATGTAAACGTCACAGTTGTCTAGTTTGGTTATGCAAATGTCACAGTTTTCTAGTTCGGTTGTGCAAATGTCACAGTTGTCTAGTTTGGTCATCCAAATGTCACAGTTTTCTAGTTTGGTTCTGTAAACGTCACAAACGTCTAGTTTGATTAAACAAACCTCACAGTTTTCTAGTTCGGTTATGCAGATGTTACAGTTTTTTATTTCGGTTATGCAAATGTAACAGTCTTCTAGTTGGGTTATGCAAATAAAACAGTTTTCTAGTTCGGTTATGAAATGTAACAGTTTTCTTGTTCGGTTATGCAAATGTAACAGTTTTCTAGTTCGGTTATGTAAATGTAACAGTTTTCTAGTTCGGTTATGCAAATGTAACAGTTGTCTAGTTTGGTTAAACAACCTAGTTTGGTTCTGCAAATGTAACAGTTTTATATTTCGGTTATGCAGATGTAACAGTTTCCTAGTTCGGTTATGAAAATGTAACAGTTTTCTAGTTCGGTTATGCAAATGTATAAACAGTTTTCTATTTCGGTTATGCAGATGTAACAGTTTTTTAGTTCTGTTCTGCAAATGTAACAGTTTTCTAGTTCGGTTATGCCAACGTCACAGTTTTCTAGTTTGTTTATGCAAATGAAAACAATTAGTTTAGTCGAACTCAGAAAGATATATCTTTAATTAAACAAATGCATATAAATTAAAAATACTTTAAGGAGGAGAGAAGGTGACTCTGAAGATCTAATTTCATAATTATTGCAACATGCCTCATACATTTCTAATATAAATTGTACTTAAAGAATTCTTTTTTAAACTTTACAACGTTTAACAAGTTTAAAGAAACGATGAATATATATATTGATGCTGGAACATTCTTATTTATCTTATCAAGAAAATTGGCCGTTTTAACTGAACAGGATGCTCCCAATTAGTTTAATAAATCGTTTATCCGTCATCAAGTCAGTTTTTTCGGTTCTTTGATAAAAAATAGATTAAACTCAGAAATAAGTGGTTCCAGCAATCCAGGAAAAGATTATGACGAAGACTACTTCCGGGTTTCAATATACACAACTACTCAAAACATGCTTTTAATAAAATTGTGAATTTGTAATTGTTAATGATTTTCTTGATAGTTTCATTCTCATTCCAACCATATGTACCGGTTATGTTATTTATTATTATAAAGCTATATGATGATAAAATGTATCCAGAATTTAAATGTACAACAATTAACTAGAACTAACTCGTAATAACTTATACATTGCCTAACTTTTGGTTTGCTTCATCAAATAACTAGAAATAACCAGTAATAACTTATACATTGCCTAACTTTTGGGTTGCTTCATCACCAACCTTTGTGAATAAACAATTGGATAAGTAAGTAAAGTTTATTTTTTTCATAGTCTATGAGTAGTAAAAAAGATATTAGAAATATTTGAAAATAAGTACTTAGACAGATGTCTGAATAAGCTGAACTAAAGAAAGTATAAAACTAGAAGTTCAGATCTAATACCGTAAAAAGGTAATATTTCTAGAATCTTTTCTAGACTCATATTTTATATATATATAGTATATACGCGAATTAAAGCGCAATTAGGGCCAGAAAAAAAATTTGCACAAATATCAAATTTATTATGAGAAAACCTTGTTATAAAAATCAAATTTTTGGCGGTTCAAGAAAAAATTTAGCTTTCTTGAGAGTCCAGAAGCTTTGATGCTGATCAGCTGCCATGAATATATACAGAATAGGGTCGTCTTCCACCTCCTCGTGGTTATCCAGGACCAGCCTACAATATCAGCTGTTTTAACGGGAAATATTTTGGTGTTTTGCGCAAATATAACTTTCTAAATGACCATTCAATATTCACCTAGAAAGTTTATATCCGTTTAACAATGGTCACTGAGAAAAGATTATGGAGATATTTCTTCAAGTTTATATTTACAAATCAGTTTTGATGCGCAAACTACGCAAACCAACGAGGATGATTAAAATGGCAACTCCACAAAAGATACTTGCGCATTTTTTGCTTTAAAAAACAATGGAGAAATTCACAAAAAAACCTTTCCAGTCAGAAATGCGAAGTTATCTTCTGCATTTTTGATCAGATTAAGGTGTTAAAGGTACCCTTGTAAATCCGACACTGCTAACTTTGCAGAAAGGAATTACACTTACGCTTACAGTCCCTTGAAATGGAAGATCAGTAGATTGTTATACCTTGTATGAAGAGGAATTTTCACCACCCTGGCTCCAACAGCTCTGGATATCTCCATAGGGGTGAGTTTAACCCTGTTAACCTGGAACCAGAGTTGGAGGCCGCTATTAGCTCCAACCAACTCACAATTTTCTATTCGTCCACCATACAGGTACAATCTCTCAGCATAGCAACCCTAGAATAACAAAATTTAATCCAATTTTTTTAACGATAATAGTTTTAAACGATCAAAGTGATCTCAGGTTGCATATTAACACCTAAACGATAAATGAAAAATAAATTTTATAAAGGAGCTCAACACTTACCACAAACTCTAATTTTTAAATCCCTAAAGCTTTACAACCTCTACATCAAACTGAAGTAAATTTCACGTAAAATTAAAACCTTATGCTTTAAACATAACTTCTCTTGTTGAAGAGCTATATTGAGAAAAACAATTTGGTTTTTAATTTATTGTACGTAAACGTAAACGGGCAAATTTGCTTTCCTATTCTTGCTCGTAAAATTCAAACTAGAGGAGATTCGAAGTCACAAAGTCTTTCCAGTATTGTCGCATAAATTTGACTTTCTGTCAAGTCCAGTGTGCCTCATGTTGTTAACTTTGGCAATTTGATTTAACAAAATTCATTATTGGAATTATCAAAAGTCTACGATATAAGGTTGCAAAGATATTGGCTATCGGGATTATAAAATTAGAGTGTCCGACGAGTTCTTTTTATGCTTATTTTGAGATGGATTTGGAATGTGTATACATTACATACAAGGCAGCCTAGGAAAGAGTTATTTGGAAAAAAATTGAGGCTTTACTTTTTACCGGTAAAATAAAAAAATAATTTAACTTAGAGACAATAATTCAAAAAAAGTTAATGTTTTTAATTTTGTTGGGAACCCAAATTTGTCTGGAAATCGAAACTTTTCTTATATATAAGTCAATCAAGTCAACATAGAACCTATCTAAGAACCATGGTTCTACCGGTATACACAATCAAAATTAAGGCAAACATGTTAAGTTGTTCATGAGTTATGATCGGACATACAAAAAACAGACAAAAAGAGATTACTACTTTATCAGCTTTGGAACCCGTGATTCCCTGGAAACTAAACTTTCTCTATTAAACCATGCTAAGAACATATACGTTGTTTGTACAGCACCAAAGTTCACCAATCAAAATTGGAGGAAAATCGGTCAAATGGTTTACGAGTTATGATCGGAAATACAAACGAAGAAACAGAGATTACTACTTCATATATATGTAGATATTCACCTGGTAAATTTGGTCCAACTCCTTCCCTTCCTCCATTATTTCAAGCTGAAGAGTCAACTTTTCAGCATCTTTCCCTTCAATAAACAAGATTTCATTTTTATTTTTAGATAAAATTGTTAATAATATTAATATTAACGATAAATATAATAATTAAAAATGTTTCCCTTGATTTCGTTAAAATATGTTTTTCCTTCTATTATCTAGAAAAAAATTATTTTCTATTCGTGTTATTTTTAGACATGGTTAAGTACATTTTGATTTTTTTTTTGATCATAAAAAGACAGTTTTCGGATCTGTCAGTGGTTCGTTTTTTTACTTGTTAAGTGAAAAGGAGGATGGTGACACTCTGTAAATAATTTTTAGATATTTTTTTCATTTAGAAACTAAAATTAGAACGTATACTGCAGTTAAAACTCCATTAAAACTTATTTGTATCTTCTTTATAGAAATATAAATAGATACAAACTTTTATTAGTTTAAAGAAATGAGATTAGAACTCAAGTTTGGATAAATAGTGTGTTTAAATTCAATGTGACGACTGACGTATTATGAATGCTAAGAAACTGGTTTATTTTAAGTAAACAAACCATCATAATCAATGATTTCAAACTGTGCTTAAAATACATTTTATACAATAAAATTTATACACAAACCCCTACCCCTACCTTAGTTCTAATAACATTGGTTTAGAATATGTTTTAAATATTGAACTTTAATTTTGAACTTTGAACTCACGTTAGTTTAACGTATGTTTGAAGTATTTTAATGTACTTAAAAATGATAGGTTTCTTCGTGTAAGCTTTACTTAAAAATAAACCTAATTAAACTCTGTTAATGTTAAGACATAAACATCGTGTATAGTAAAATCCTAAAATGTGTTAAAATGTTTTAATTTGAAGCTGATTTTTAATATATATATATATATATATATATAACTCGGCTTTCAGGGCGCTTCACGTCTATTTTCTATTTCAATAGTAAACTTTTTCTCATTGTATACATTGTAAAGCAAAAACAAAAAAGTTCGCGGATTTTATAAAACAAATCTCGTTTTTCAAAATTTAATGGAAACCGAATTTTGTTTGAGGCAAATTTTTTTAAATTTTGATCTTCCATAAACCTTCCCTAGGGTCATGTGAGGTCCCAAAAAAATGTAGACCGGATCTGTTCAGCTGTTTTGACGTTTATTGGATAGAAAAAACAAACAAGCAGGGGCAGATACAGGATATGAACCAGTGGGGGGGGGGGGCTAGATATTTTAGGTAGAAAAAATCTGGAAGTAGGAACAAATAATTTGTTTGACCTGGAAAACTCAAAAAAGGTCAAAATTAACGACTAAAGACTAAAAATTATTTTTAATGTATCACACATAATACTTTATGTATGTATTGTGACTGCAAAATGCAATTTCAAATAGATGGGACCAAATGTGCGCGCGCGCTTTTTGTTTTAAAATACGACCTTTTTCACGTTTTCACATGTTTTACACCGTTCAATGAATTTAAAATTGCATGGACGCGATTAAACAAGAAATTCCTGAAAAGTTTGCGTTCTAGAACCTCAAATCCCCGCGCGCGCGTGCAGTTAATAAAAAATATAAATAAATATGTTATATTCAAGTTACAGGTAAATTGGGACACGGATTTCATTTCAAAATAGACTTTGGGGCATTTTGAACGGCGCGCTAGTAGCCAGATGTTCTATTAATATGGGTCATTTTACTATAAGTTTTCATGCCATATAACAATTTATGGGTAATTGGGCACAAGGATTTTATTTCTTGAGTTAAAAAATCTTTTGGCCACTCTAATCAGTTACAAATAAAATCATACAATAAGTAAATAAAAGAATTTTAGTTCAAAATAAAAAATAAAAATAAATATCCTCTCTTCTTCCAATCTACGATAATTTAGTTTTCTTGGGCCGCTTGAAAAAAAGGCATTTAAAACACCATTGTCCAAAATTAAGACAAGCCTCTTTGGGTGCATCGCCATTCTTCCGAGGTCATAGATGACGTGTTCCAGGTCAAAAGCCTTCAGAGTAATGATTTTGTGAAAATCCAGAAGGGTACACCCCCCGCCCTAATTTCACTCAGGGAGGGATAATGGACCGCCCCCCCCCCTCTGGAACCACCTTCTGTAAATTATTTTTGTGGGCCACCCTGTATATTATTCAGTGACCAATTAGTACTGCTTAGAAACTGGTTTATTATAAGTTAAATTAAAAATGATTTCACAAATCACAAGCCTACCCTACCAAAGAAAGAAAAATGAGTTTTTGCCACAATCTAAATTTGTTTAACCCATATACCCTTTCAACCAGATGTCGTAAACTTTTGATATTGGAAACTATAAATTTTGAGATATAATAAAGTCTAAGTTTGAAAAATAAAAGGTTTACACCATCAGGTGGCAAAAATATAGAGATTAGAAAATTCGCTTGAGTTTGTGGCAAAAACCAAGTTCGATTTCGATCTCTTTGTTGTAGTAAAATTAGTATATATATATTGTGTAAATATTATTCAACGTTTTGCCTGTAAAGGAACTAGAGTTCTCTCAAATTTAATTTGAGGAGCAATCAGTTCCGTTTCATTTCCGAAATTAGCTTAAATGCCTGGAAAAATTTAATAAACAAATAAAATAATTTTTTTATATAATTTTTAAAAACCTGTTTCTATGAGAAGAGAATAGAGAAATGTCCTGGGATCAGGTAATCTGAAATTTGTTCATAAAATTATAAAAACGTTCTGAAAAAATTGTTTTATATTTTTTCATAGAAACCCTGGATGCAACGCTTATGTGCAATTTTTTTGTTGATGTCGGGATTTCGATCTTTTTTGTAAAGAATCTAGTCAGCAAGAGGAAAAGTTTAACATTCTTAATGTGAAGTGAAATTAAGACTCAAATGCTGCGGCATGGAAGACTTCACGCACGGTTGTGGCTTATGGTTGCCGGAAGACCAAAAAGCTAATATGTCGCATGGAAGGGGAAATTTTGTGGCTTGTGGCCGCCTGCCTTCCCCCGTTCTTTCAAGTGAACCCCCAAACAAAGAGTTGCATATATTCGATTGACAACGCGAGCTACCTTTACAACCAAAGTCCGATTAAGTTTGTTGGATTGGAGAAAATGTACCTGGACAATGGTACAACATGAAGTTCTTGAAGGGTATCAAGTTTTTCTAGATGTTCGACAACATCGTCAAATCTTCCAATCCAATCCTGCAGTTTATACTCCCAGTTCAAAAAGAAATATCTAAAAATAGATGGAGATTAATCAAACTAAAAAAATAAAATTATAAAATATAAGAAATATGGAAATATTAAAATTAGAAAAAATCAAAAATATTAAAATTATGAAATACCAGAACCTTTAAGATATATTAAAAAGAATATTAAGACTATAAGACTAAAACTAACCTCCAAGCTCTCGGTGTTTTATTATCTCTGATATTTTGTATATACTGAACTATATTAGATGAAGGCCAGAACCCCTCTAGAAGGGTCAACCTAATCCTGTTTATATCCTCTGCAACCACACATCCCAGAGCACCTGCAACATAATTTTTACAGTCTGTTTCCTTTGATTCCCTGAAACTGTAAACTTATATCTGTCTGTGACAAATCATTAAATAAACCAAGGATTTAATGCAAGGAAAGTTATTTCAGAGGTGTACGCATCTTTTGTACTGCAGTGTACTGTCTCTGGGCGCTAATGTAAACACTGATAAAGACTGATGTCGAAGCCTGAAATGGGATCCATCTTTCACATAACTAATCAATGAAATATTCTGGTTATAGAAAACTATTATGTGAATTTTCAAAATGATCAAGATGCAATGCGTTTAACCTCCTCGGATACTAAACGAACACTGAGGCATCTATTCTTGTTTACAAATTCCGCCCAGAGAGAACTGGTTTCAATATGTACGCAGAGTATACGCAACTGCAATTAACTTTCCTTGCATTACATTCTTGAAATAAACCACATTCAAGGCAGAATATTTAATTTAAACTTGGAATCCACATATTTGAAGAGTTTCAAGTCGTCTTTGATATCTCATTCTTTGTGGGTAACCTATTACTCCACGTCAAGCATGAACTATGTAGATTTCCAGGGCAAAAAAATATCAAAAATATCAAATGCCAACAGATCAAAATTGATAAGAAGCTGTTCAAGGTCATCATTTTTATAAAAAAGAATTATACCGGTGATTTAAATTTTGTTTGAAAATTTATTGGCAAGTGAGATAGAGGGGGGGGGGGGGGTTAAAGTATATATAAATATATATATTTACACCCAACCTATAAAATAAAAGACAATATCTTCAACATTTTAGACCAAGCAGGTACCATTGTGAATCAGGCAAATCCCTTTATAATTGGGGGTTACTTTAAATTACAATAAAAGTCTCTTTAAACCTGAAACATAGCGTACAGTGCAAGGAGAAACAATGATTAAACTATTATTTCAGATTGGAAATATTTTAATTTCTCTCTGATGATTTTTTTACTGAGAATTCAAACTAATTATTTCCGAATACTACTTTTCAATTATTAATTTTTTTCAAATTTTTTTTGAAGGTTTCACCGAGGAACAACAAAATTACCTAATTTATCAATTTGGAACTTGACAACTTTCCATCTAAGAGGAGCTTCTGCAGGAATACTCTTGATGGTTTTGATTCTTTCAACTACAGCTAGAACTGTCTCTAGGTTCTCAAGTACTCCTGCCTTCCAAGTGTCCAGCCCGGAATTGCTGTATTTTGCTATAACCTTGATCATCTCTTTGGACCTCACCATCTCCTAAACAATCACCAACCGCTACAAAATTAGGCATGGAAGTCCAAAGTAGTTACGCGCATGCCGCGTTAAATTACAAGACAGAGAGTGAGTCTGTTCTAGCCGCTGCGCTCGGCCCCGAACATGTCCTAGCCACAGCGCTCGGCCCCCTCGACTGTCCTAAACACTTGGCCTAGAAAATGTCTATTTCTTTTAATTCAACGTTGCAAGCTCGCGTACTCTTTAAGGTAACTGCCCAAAAATTAAACTTATATTAAACTTATTAAACTTATAGTAATTTGCAACTGTAAAATGTAAATATTTAGATCTGTTATCTGGTAATTTGAATCCATTTGTTTCTTTAACTGATTTGTATTTAAACTTTTAGCACATACCTACAGGGTGTCCCAGGAATGTCATCTTTAATCTTTAAAATAACTTGCGGCATTTTATTTGTAAAATTAAGTGAAATTCTTATGACAAATAACCCTAGTTCTGGCATATACAATTTGTGGTCTCCTTTTTTTGCTTTCAATATTTCTGGACATATTAAAATTCTTGTTCACAGATCGACTATTTTGGTTTAATTTAATAAATTGTGATATTTGACGCGCAAAAAAGGCAGGCCATAGTTTTGAAATGCAAGGACTAGGAGAATTTGTTATTATTGTTTCAAGAATCATATATGTAAAATTGCGTTTACAAACTTCAAAGACGACCTTCCAAGTCATCATGATACTATCAAGTTTTTTGGACACCCTAGATTATACACTTTAATTCATATATAAACCTGTATATTGTTTCTGGACACCCTAGATTATACACTTTAATTCATTTATAAACCTGTATATTGTTTGCTGCAGGACAAAGCATGAGAGATTGTGAAGGAATTCTTGTAAAATTCTCTAACGCTGAAATCTGTAAAGAATTAATCTAATCCGAATTATTTTGAAACTAGCTTTAACCCAGCTTCACATTGAGATCAAATTTTCCGTGTACAAGACAACCCACCCACTCAACTTGGAATTTTTAAACCAGGTTTAGAACATTCACGTAGTTTTACCGAGTTCCCTAATCAAAATTTGAGGCTAAATCTCAAACTCTTGAAGATGCAAACTTTTGATATTTGGGCTTTTTAGTCTACTAAACATAATTTTCGAAAATGAGGCGTAATTTTGAAGGTTAAAACGGCCTTTTAGAGAAATATTATATTGACGACCCCCCCCCCCCTACTATATGAGCACTTTTTAACACAATACTACGATGTTTGAGAGGCTAAAAAGCCTAAACACACTTTTTTCAGAGACACTCTGTATAGATATGACAACTTTCCTGTGGCCAGTTAAGTCGTCGTCATATATATCAATACACTGAAGACGACTTTTGATTTCCATTTTGATTTCTACCAAGCTTATAAACAGGAAGGATGCACATAAACATGCTCTTTCTAACTGTAAACTTGTAATTTGAATAAAAACGTGATAGTAATCAAAACTGAAATAAAAAAGTCGCTTTCATTGTATTAATATAAACGCCAATTACTTTTTATAATTAACTTATACTATACTTATACTACAGGGTGTCCCAAGAAACATGACAATAGCAAGACGACTTGAAAGTCGTCTTTGGTATTTGAATTTATTTGTGACATTTAGTCTTTTATTTACTTTAACATGTATGATTCTTGAAACAATTATCACATAATTCTCCTAGCCCTGGCATTTCCAAAAAGTGGTCTGCGTTTTTTGTGCTTTCAATATTACTGGAGATAAAAAGAGTTTGGTTCAGATTTCAATTTTGTTGAATAAAAGCAAAATTGTCGAAATCTGAACGAAATTCTTCATATCTCGGGCAATATTGAAAGCACAAAAAAGGCAGACCACATTTTGGAAATTGCAGGACAAGGTAAATTTTGTGATGATCATCTCTAGAAATTTACTTCTAAAATTAGGTTGACAAATAAACGCAACAAATTATATCAAAAATCAAGACGACATTCAAGTCGTCCTGCATACTGTCATGTTTCGTGGGACACCCTGTATATTAACAAATAGAAACTTTTAATTTTAAAATTGCAAATTTTCCGGAAAAAAAACATTATTGCTAAATTTCCAGAAAAATGTTTTGAGGAGAAAATAAAATTAATTATAAAAAATACTAAAATAAAATTTCATTCCACTCCACCCACCCTGCAGCTTCAGAAACCTCTCTCCAAATTAGGGCAACAGTTTCCCCACATATTACTTTTTTATTTTTATATTGAGTACCCTCCATTTAATTTATTTTCAAAGGTTTAAAGGCTAATATATACCGTTTTCATTATTTTCTGTTCCACGTCATCTTTCATCATCTTCCCACACTTGTAAGGGTTGTGAGGTCCAAAGAGAAAGTTGCCAAAGTACTCCTCAAGATACATGCTGATAACACTCTGGTCCACTTTGTTGATCATGTGATTCTTGTACAGAATTTCCTAAATTAATCGTTTTTGAGCAACATTTGAACTAATTGATAAATGAAATATGAATTATATTAGACTACAACTAATTTTCAGCAAAGTTAAGGGAATTTTACTTTACCAATGTTTAAAAGACCAATTTTGCCAACAAAAACATCCAGAGCATGGCTAGGAATCTTTTGTATCAAAAGTTGGTCAAGGGAAACTGTCGTTTAGTAAACAAATTTTGAGATGAAAGTGTGCAAGGTTTTTTATAAAAACTTTACAGAACGGGATTTTTTTACATAATTGTCCCAAGGGACAATTAATAACTTAACATGCTGTTGAGGGATTATGGGTCTGTATTGATGGACTAAAGGAGGCGAAATATTTTACCTGAATCCAAAATCTGAGCTGTTCATATTGAATGGTTTTTGGAGAGTCCTCAGAGGTTTGAAAATATCTTTCAATAAAGGTGTGCGCCATTTGAACCAAGTAGTTAGGAAAGCTTGGAACATTAGTCCAAGACAGGGCAGAAAACTTTTGTCTGCATATGAAAATTTTTTGAAGATAGGAGAGTGTAAGAAAAAGCACGCTTTGACAAAAGTTGAGACTGGAAATTGATTTGTGAGCAACATTGTAGTGGAAGTTGGTATTGTGGAACCGAATGTCACTGTAGGGTTCACAGTTGAGTATAATTGATTTCTGAAGAAGTGTGAAAGATGGAAAGTCTTTTTGACACCATGTCATCCAAACCCTGAAGTCGTCATGAACATCATCCTTGTCCTTAGAATTAATCTGCTTCTCTAGAATTGGCAAGAAGAAAGGTACCAAGTCAACATTTTGAAAAATCAGCCATTGTCCTCGAATGAAAGCAGTTTCCAAGAGGGCCATAGCCAGGGTTATGTTATCTTTAGATAGTGCTAGGTACTTAACTTTACTGCTAGCAATGCCTTGCAGATCTGCCAGTTTAGTCAAATTGTCGCAAGGATCTTGAACGGTGGATTCAAGAAGAAATACAATAGGATTGTATGGAGAGCTGTATTGATGAACATCAGATACAAATATAGTTTCTGACTTTAGATAAGTGTCTGAAATGGTTTTGTCCACAAAATGAATCATTGCTGAGTTGACTTTAGCAGGTTCAAGAATTACGCTGATCATTAGATAATAAAACTTCTCTTTCATAATTTCAGTTTCCCTGTCAATTAGTATTTTTAATTCATTTTTCTCCAGCTGGACAAACTTCTCCAGTTGATAGTGTTGCAACAGTGCTCTAGATGTTTCAGTTGATTTATTTTCATTTTCCATTTGATCAAGTTTTGTAAGAATATCAACCAACATACATATATCAGACTCTTTTATGTCTTTATTGATTTTCATCAATCCTATTGACATGAAAGTTGCAAACAGCACTCTTCCCTTTTCTGGTATTTGCAAAGAATACTTTTTGAAGATATCATACATAACATCATCGTCCCCATTATTATCATCAATATAAATTGCAGTATGAACAAAGATGTAAAAGGATGGAACAGGGCACAGCTTGAATTTACTGAGCATAAACAGGCCAATGACAACAGGTGTGGAATCTCTTGGAAGCTCTTCCACAGTATTGTTTATATTCTGTTCAACAGTAGTTATGTCTTCATTGATTGCACTATTCTCAACAATAAACTGCTTCAAATCTTCAATAACTTTCATTATTTCCTCATTCACAATTTTATCCTGCTTATTCATTAGTTCATAAAACATAAGCTTTCCATGCACAATTTTGTTTTCAATGTCCTTTCTCCTGTTTTGTAGTTCTAATAAAGTTTCCTTGTTCTTCCTTTGACAGTGATTATTGAATTCATCAATCATGAAGTAGATTACCTCATTAGGATTTAAAGAGCAATTTAGAAAATATAAATTTGAAATAGCTTGATATGGTAAAACTGGTTTTAGGATCTTCGTGAGCAAAAACACTAAAACTTTGTTGGATTCTGCAAAATTCAATAAGCTGTCTAGCTCTTGATGGAGCAACTTATTCATATTCTTTGAATTTTCAAAGTAGACATCTTCAACAAGAATTATTCCGTTCTTGTTTTGCTTGGCACCTGAAAGAAGATGATGAAGATCATCTTTGCTAATAAGTTTCATAACCTGCACACTGTTCTCACTTTTTATCAAGAGCTTTATGACATCATTTGGATCATAGCAAAAAATTACCCTTTTCTGTGTAAGTGACTTCAATTGATTGCAAAAGTTAAAATCAGAAGGGCGTAAAAATACTTGCAAGGGGGAAAGCAGCTCTTGATTTTCAGAAGGAGGATTAAACTCATTAACTATGTCTTTAACAGTCTGGAGTATAAGTGATCGCTTTTCAGATTCAAATCTGCCTAGATATATACTAACCGTTTTTTCCATAATCATGTTTGCCAGCATTTCTTTGTCACTTATGCTTGTCTTTTGCAATTCATTTTCATATTCTTCTTTCAAGAACTTGCTTTCTTCCAAAAATTTATTTTCAATTTTTAAACCTTGATCTACTAGCACTGTTGCTGTTTCCAATTCCAGGCATGATTCTTTCAATTTCTGAAGATCCAGTTCTTTCTCAGCTATTTCATTTTCTAACCTTCGTAAAGACTTTTTTACAGTTACTAAATGTTTTTCAGATTCATCTACTGAAATTTGAACTCTCTTAATCTCTTGGCTTAATTTATCCCTTTCAAACTTGGTTTTGAATGAACTTAGCGCACCTGTAACATAGCTCCAAAACATGCCTGAAATTGGAGAAAACTTTACCAACTCTCCTTTTGAGGTTTTGATTTCTGCTAACTTTTTGTTGATCAAAAACTCTTGCTTGTGCTTACAAGAATCAGGATCAAATTCTTCCATTACCTTTTGCCAGTTTTGACTTAAAAATCTGTCCTTAAATGGTTTCCATCCTGCAAAGTCAATACGGAACAAAATCATTATTATGTTAGCAATTTTTTCTATATCTTCATGAACAAGCATTGGTTTTGAATAAAGAAATATTTGGTTGGAACTAATGTCTTTGATGCTTTCCTTAGCTTTTTCAAATGCATCAAATGACTGGGATCTGATCAAATCATATTTCTGTGTAAGGACTTCCTTGTTAACTTTAAGACTCTGGTTAAGAATCACTTCTTCTTCAAGATCATTGGTCAGTTTCTTTTTATCATCCTCAAGACCTTTTAATGTCTTTTTCAAACTTTTCATAGATTCTTTTAACTTTTCTATGGTTTTTTCGTTTTCCCCAAGTTTTGATATGTTTAATGCTACTTGATCATGCCGCTTTTTCATCCAATTTAAAACTGCCTTTAACTCGTCATTGTGCCTTCTAGCATTTTCAATAGTGTCTTCAAAGAACTTTTGAATGCTATTGTTTAAGTCTGACAGATCTTTCAATGTGATAAAGACAGGAAAGGATTGACCATCAAGCTGTCTACTGTACTCAGTCATTTTCAAGTGAATTTCAACTAAAACCTTCTGAATAGCACTCTCAAGAGGACTATCTTGGAGTGCTAAACCTAAAGAATGTTTACTCCAATGTGAAATTCCAAGGATACGAGTATAGGAAAGTAACCACTGTTGCCATGGAATCAGAGATGTAGATTTAGTAGAAATTAGAAAAGCTATTTTTTTTCTTGAAACCTTTGGAAGGTATTCTAACCAATCCTCTATTCTATCTTCTGTTACATAACAATCTTTGACAATGAGAATGTGTTTTTCAGAAATCTCTAGTAAGCTTGCCATTTCTTCAATTCTTCTCAAATATGTAAATGAATAATTTGCAGTCTTGCAAGCAGACTCCAAAACTGCTGCTACTCCATATCCATGCTCACCAAACAGGGAAATAAGATTTTCTTTGTTGTTATCCAGAAACCTTGATATCTCATGGAATATTTTTTTTTGTTCTTCAGTCCACACAATATCATAAGCAATGCATTTGTCACTCAAATGAATGTCAAATTGACCATCAAAAGGTATTGAACATTTTTCAAACCCTAACTGAAGCCATTGTATAATATCTCTCTTCTTCTCTTGATTGACTTCAGGATACACAAGACTTTCTGATAAGAGATGTCCATACTCTGTAATAATATCCCCATCATGTAAAGAGAGCTTCTGAAGTTTCAGCAAAACATTTACAAGAATATCAGTTGTTAGATTCATACTCAAAACTGAAAAATGATTTTCTGCTGTAGACATTAGAGTTATAGAGACTGAAGCTACTTGTTCAATCTTTGATTTGAGCTCTTCTCCATGAAGATATATCAGATTTTCTTTGAAAACATCCACTATATCTTCAAAGATATCTTCAATAAATATGCAAACAAACTTATTAAAAGACCTTGATAATTTGAATTTTAGAGACACCGGAGATACCTTGCATAGTACATTTACATCAGAGATCCTGCAGATATCTTCTGCAAAAACAAAAGTCTTCATTTCTGCAATGTCACCTAGAAGAGCAATAGGTTTTCCATAAGCCCTATCCGTTGGATTTAGAAGATCAGACGCTGCAACCAAGATTTCACGATGGTTTTTAGGAACCAGTATGTTTTGTCCCCGTCGAAGAAAATGTTTTTCAACAGCATCACTTACTGCTTTAGAACTGCTTAGGGTATGAAATTGAATTGGGATAATCAAATTATCCTTGTTTTCATATTCTTCATAAATAGTTTCATAAACATGGTGAGCAAACTTATTCCCAATGATCAAAATAGGCTTTTGATTAGCCAAAATAATTTTGCAAATGTGCCTGATAGTATTTAGAAATTTAGAGAAGTTTGCTGATGGTGTTGTCACTTCAGGCAATGTTTCTCTAATTCCAACTTCTCCAAATGTGCTTTTATTGTTTAAAACACAAGTTTTAATACAGTTGATGACATCATTTTTTTGCTGCTTTGCTTCACATGAAGTAAATGCAAACTGAAAAGCATAAATAAGAATTTCAGTTGTAGTTGATGTCTTCTGAGCTTTTATTAGACACTCAAAAATATCAAGAGCTTCTTGGAGTTTTTTTAGCAAGCACCGATTTAGAAAACTATCCATGGAAGAGACAATTTCCACTCTTAAGCTTTCTAATAGTTTACAACATTGCTCTTTGATCACCGTTTCATCTTCTAAAAGACTTTTCAGGATACTTATTCTCTTGTTGATCACAGCCCAAGAAATATTTTTAGCATCCTCTTTTATTTGAAGGATTAAAGATCTAGATTTTAAAGATTCACAAATTTCAGAGATATCTGTTGTCTCTACTAATACCTTCATGTCTCCTTTGGATATGAATTGAATTCCATTACCATTGTAATATTCTTGTTTGTCCAATATTGTTGATAATGGCAGAGCAATTTGTTCATTGCAAGCCCCATCCAGGTGAATTAATAGACTATCACACTGAACTGAAAAGAATTTAGCAATAATTCCTGGATTATCTTTGCTGCCAAGTATGTATTCAGTGTCATAAGATGATGGATTGAAGTATATCTTTCTAGTTTTCTTGGAAAGAAGCTTCTCAACGGCATCAACAACTTTTGTTTTTCCTGTAAATGCCGGTCCATGAAGAATTACAGAGTTTGAATATTTAAGCATATCTAAAAGTTTCAACACTGTTTCTTTCTGATAGTCAGTTAAATCATGACATACTTTGTTGAAATTTTCAATACCATCATTTGACACTTTTAAAGAAACTTCTTTTTCAATCTTGAAATGCTTTTGTAGAATATTGCTTGCAATAGCAAACTTTTCCTCTGTCAAAAGGTTTTTGTAATATTCTAGCATGATAAGATATAGCATATTGTTTTCTGATATGTCAATCATTTGTTTTAGTTTGTCAACTAACTTTGCTGTTATTATCTTGAAAGCACTAAACTGACATGCAGTGCCGAGATTTAAGACACTTCCTACCACATTACTGGCACTGATCAAGTGCTTTGACATGGTTACTGGATATTTAAGACCATTTATTCTCATAATTGTGCTGAAAAGTTTTTCCATGTTTGGTAATTCAACTGAAACTCTTCGGAACATAGTTCGCAGTGAAAGAGGCAGTGGCTGTAGTTGATAAGACCCCCTTAGATTATTTTCTGTACAGATGAATGCAACTCTTGGAGACATCTTAGTTAGTTTTCCATTTAGGGCAAACTCTCTGAGGTATAGAGTCTGTGCAGTCTTAATTGCTTGGAAGTGTGAAGAAATCTCAGACATAACAGAGAATTTCAAAAGATTGACATTGTCTATGATCCCCCATAAATTACTCTCACATATACCTCTCATAAATCTGATTAATGATTCAACAGTAAAGTTCTGATTGCTTGAGATTGCTTTCCAGCCTTTGCCCAATTTTTTCCCTAGATCTTCAATAATTGCTGTTTTTCCTGTCATGGGAGCTCCAGACAAACAAGGAATATTGTGGTTTCTGATAGTTTCATTTATAAGAAACCAAATCCTCTCGGACTCTAGATTATTTATTGAGAGATTAGTAACACCCATGAATTCATAACCATAATCAAGTTCAAAAAAACCTTGCTTTACCTCCAATGTGTAATTTTCTTCACTCCAGTAGTATTTCATAATTTTCTCCCAGTTAAAGTCCTTTTCTGAAGACAGGGATAGATTGAGAAAACTGTCAATTAAATCTCTTTTGGCTATAATCATAGTCATGTAAAAACAGTTCTTAACTTGTTCCGTTCCAGATAAATTCTTATGATCTTGCAACATTTCCAACTGTTGACAACTTTTGAAGTAAAGTTTTTTCCACTCTTCAAGAATACTCAAAGGATTTCCATTGTCATTGTTATTGAAAGCATTCTCAAACTGATCAGTCCAAACTTTTTCATAAATAGCTATTGCCAATATGTTTGGAAACTTCATTAATGAAGTAATGAATTCAGTGCTGTTAAAGCTACAGTCCTGTAGGGCAAGGCGAACCATTAGCTTCATACTAACCTTTGCTTCCTCAACCAAAGTTGAAAGCCAAACTTCCACTGGATGGTTGTCAACATTTACACTTTTTATCAGAGGGAGATCTTCATCATCTTGAGTTAAAAGGGCTTCTACAATTCCTAAATCATTTGGTTTGATATTGCTCAAGTTTTGAAAGAGATTACTGATTATTTCCTGAACCTCCAACTCTCTTATATTTCCTCCAAGAACTGTAATCAGCTCATCGTCTGAAAGAAAGAAGAATCTAGGAAACTCTTTTCTTTTAAGATCAAATGCACTAACCAAATCCTTTTGAAATTCCTCTAATTCATTTTTTATCATTTGGATGGTAGACAAGAATCCATTTGAAAGACAGATATCTTTGACTGTTGGTTTCTTTGCAGTTTCAACCATAATACGAACAAATCTTTTGCTTATATCTTCAAATGAGTTTGGATCTGTTAAAGAATCCCGGAACCCTTTCACAGCTAAAGCTTTTGAAATTTTGATCCAGCATTCTTGAACTTGAATCCACTCCTGAACTACCCTTTCTATAGTGGTCAAATTTGTTTTCCAGAATGCAATTTCTTTTGAGAAATGAGCAGAATAAACTGATTTTATCATTTGATCCAATTGACCTTGATGCAGTATTAAATCGTCAAGAATTCCAGTAACATCTCCTAAGATATAGAATTGATCTCCATCTTTCAGCCAGCATTCACGATGAAGAGAAAACTTTGCACTTTCCCACAATTCTTTGAACTCTTGAATTTCAGATTCAATTTTTCTCTCATGAGAAGCTTGATTGATAACTCTATCAATGTCACACTCAAGATTTTGAAAGTTAAAGTTCCAAAAGTGTGAGATGCTGAAGTTGATATCTTCTTCAATGTGTACGTTTGTAACTCGTGATATTTCTTTCCAATGTCGTGATCTTAATTTTGACTCCTTCAATTTTTTCAAAATTTCAAACAAATGAAGTGCTTGATTTACCCGTTTCTCAATTTCAATTAGTGGTGGTTGATCAGGGAAAGATTCCTGAAGCTTTACTAAATCATTAGAACTCTTGAGAATATCCTTTTTCACAAAATCCAAATCAAGTTTCTTCCACTTAAGTTTTTTCCACTTGTCTTCAAGTTTAGAAAACTTTTTGTACAAAACATATATCTCATCAAGTGTTTCAATGTCAGTCCTGAAAGACTGCAAGACTTCAAAGTTGGTGAGTGGCAGGACATATAGCTTCTCTTGTTCATTTAACTCTTCAGCTTTAAAGCAAGCTTCTTTAAAGTCAACTTGATACTTTGTTAAAAGGAGCAAACCTTGGTCCAGATTGGAACCAACACTAGTCGGTCCAGATTGTTTGAAATTTGAGTAAAGATTATTAACAACACTCTTAAATTTTCTGATCTTCATTTTGGTTATTTCTGTGTACTTCTGCTTCATGGGCGTAACTCTGAAATGAACTTCTTTTGACTTATGAAATATTTTATTCCACAGGTGGGGCAAATTTTGTGCAGCTTTAATTTGAGTCTCCTCTATTTGGATACCATACATTTGCAGTGTCCGATATTTTTCCTCTATTTCCTTATAACTCATTTCAACTGATAAGGACATCTTCCAAATTGAGGAAATAGCACGGAGAACATTTTCCAGCTCTTCCCCATTCTTGGGGTAGATCAATTTATTCATAAGGTTATCCAAACTGGATTGAAGTTTAGTCAATTCCTCCTTTGCTGTTTGTTCTAGAAGTGTACCCAAACAGTTTGACCACTCCTTAGTTTCATTTAGAAGAGTAATTTTAATCGGCTTTAATGACAGTTGGATGCATTTAAAGTTGGATATAAATTCACGCTCTTGAATTTGGCGTTCAAGTAAGGAATAGAACAACAACTTTGCATCAAAATCAACACAGCTTGGGGTTCTCTCAAGAAATTTGATGCATGTGTTATTTTTGTCAAATTTCCACAAGTTTTTAAAACTTCTCCAAGAGGACAGATATATCTTAACATTTTCAAGAGAACTAACTATGCTTTGCTGAACCTTTTCTACTCTTTCAATGATGTCAGGAATTCTTATAATATCATCAAAAAATGATGGGTGAATAGGTCTGATTTTACCTTTAACTCTTGCTTCAGTTACAGGAATACATGTTCCATGACCCCAACGAATGAACATTTGAGTTCCATCTAAAAGGCATTTTATAAATGTGATAATACCTTTTAAAATAACTTGCTCAGATGGTTCCAATGCCACATTCTTGTTTAATAGCACCACCTCAACATTAAATAAAGGCTCTTTGGATTCCATTAAATCTAAAAAATCTTCTAAGTTGACCTTTAGCATGTGTTTTAAAGTTTCATAAATTACTCCTTCCCAGTAGGAAAAGTAGTTTTTCATCCTTGGATGCTTCTTTGTTCTTGAACTTACAAGAACTTCTTCAACTTTCATTAACAGGGGACAGATATCCTCATAGAACCCAATTAACTTCTTCATGGTATCTTTTTGTACAGTTAAGATTGTTGAGTGAAACTCCTCAAACCTCTTTAAGCTCTTGGTGTCACAATTTTGGAATTGGCAAAACATCCTGGCAGACATAATATTGTTAATGTTTTCTTCAATCTTCCCTTTAATTGCCAGGATTTGACGAATGGTAGATTCAGTTCTACAAATTATAATCTCACTTTGAGATATGTAGTCTGAAATCCCCAATGAATTCCATGTTAGTCTAATCAGTCCTGGATTCAGTCCTTTCTCCATATTCTTTAGATTTTCCAGTATTAGTTCTTTGTCTGCTCCATCTACTGAATCTATAACTTGATGATAGTGAGATAACATTTGTGTTAGTTGCTCTGATATGTCATTAAGCTTAGCTTCCTGCAATGACATGTTCTTGGCTACCTCTGGCACCTTATATCCTAATTTTTCCATATTAATAACCTCTGCAAAAGTGTCTGAAAGGTCAGAAGTAAAATCGACTGAAAATCTACTAATACTTTCATTGTCATTCTCCCTTCTTATTAGATTTCTGCTTAAGTTTTTATCAAGAATTTCATTCACTCTGCTACTCCAGTTGGAATATTTTTTCAGCTCATATGCTTTCAAAGTTTCTAGCACCATGTCCAGGTTTTCCTTTGTAGGTAGCCAACTTGGGCATTCAAGAACTTCCTTAAGCTCTGATAATTCCTGAAATGTAGATTTCAGAGCTTGGCTTATTTCTTTTGACCAAAATATAGAACCAGATATTGGCGGCAGATTATTGGCTATTGGAGGACTATCTGCATTAGATTCAAATAATCTCTTAGCTTCTTCAATTTCATTTTTGAATTTAGATATTATGGAGTTGACTTTCTTCATGTACTTTGCTCGGATAACAGTCCTCAAAGGTAACTGCTTGAGCTTGCTTAGTTTCTTGGCTGCCAAATCAGATTTGATAATGTAATCAAATGTCTCTTCAATAATCTTTCCTGATTCTGCTTCTAGAAAGAGTACTTCTCTTTGAAACCAAGACATTAGTGTTCCCCAATGATGATTGGTCTTGATATCAAAGGGCACAAATTTTATTGAAAATAGACATTCCGTTAAGGATTTAACTTTGTCTATAGCCGTTTGTAAATGATTTGGTCTTAACGTAATCTCTTGAAGTTCAGGAAGAAAGCTGTTCTTCAACTCAATGAGGACTTGACAAACAATCAAGATATCTTTGCAAATAATAGTGATATGATCAGTGTCACAGAACAAATCATTAATTTCAAATTCCCATCTTGCCTCCTTCCTTGACTCTTCTATGTCCATTCTTACCTTCAGGAAACTTTTTCTCCATGTTTCAAGTATCTTAACACAGAGCTCTACAGTAACTTTAAGGTTATCTGGATAAACTAGCTCAGAAAGCTTAATAGTCTCAATTATTCGTTGATTAATAAGTTTTGATATCATCAGGATGATGCCATGAATTTTCTTATCAGTTGCAAAAAACTTTGAGAGAAGCCAAATGTTCCTGAGGGAAACAGCAACCCCTGGTAACAGTCCTATGAGTTCATGGAAATTGTTTGTTGTTCTAATGAATTCTAGCGAATCTTCAATAGTTCCTAAGAACTTCACATGATCCTTAGCCTCTACTAAAAGTGAATTTGTCTCATTCATCTCTATCTTCAATTCCTTTACTTCAATAATATTTGCTTCATCCAGTATTGCCAATGATCTTTCAAATGCGGGAAAAGTAAAATCTTCAATAAGTTTAATCAAATCATTTTGTCTTCCCCTCCAGAACTCAATCTGAACCTTGGGGTACTCTAATGGTCCAACAGTTTTCAGTATCTCAATCTTGGGTAGGTGATTCAATGCATCATTTATAGTTTTGGTCCAACCAATACAAGATTCCCTTAAAGTCTGCACTATCATCTCATTTTTGACCAGAAGTTCTGGTTCGAAGGGAATCTGGAAAAGCTCTGGTATATTTGGAACTGGTAATCTGTTGGCTGATGTGTGACAAATTGAGATTTTTCTGATTAAATTGAGAAGATCTTGTTCATACTTATTCCCTCTCTTGTTGAGGTGAGCAGCAAGTATAACAGCAGGGTCCTGATCCACGAGAAGAACATTCATGTACTTGTACATCTAAAAAAAACCTTTCATTTTAAATCATGATAGATTTTTTGTTAAAATTAATTAATCCATTCAAGATTTTATCTGTTAAAAAGAATACAGGTGTGATTTTAAGAATTAACCCTTCATATGTCAATTTAAAGAAATGTTTGATTCACAATGATACCCATAAAACCTTTGTCTGATTTATAATAATTGAGATATTTTTTTCCCTTTAAATCGTTTCATTTCTTTTTTTAAAAAAAATTTATTAAAACTTCCAACATTTTAAAACTTTATTCTTTTTAAATATACTCATGTGAAAATTTGCAAGATTTTCATCCTAAAAAGGTGAACCTTTTTGGTTAAATAAAATTGAATGTAGATTGAAAATTGCTAAAAATTTTGTCTTTAAGTTTACTTAAAAGTTGAAATTCAAAATTTTATATAAATCAAAATAGAAGCTTTTTTCAAAAAAAAAATATCAATTAAAAAGTATTTTAATTGCGGAAGACAATCTTTTATTGAATTCAATTATCTTATAGAAAAAACCTATCAATTGTTTCAAATCACAATTAAATTTATCGTTGCTTTTTCGTCCTTACTGAAGAATATGACGGCTTTTGTAAGTTGTATTAAAATCTGTTAATAACTTAGTTTTTCATGTTAAGACCGGGAGGGGGGGGGGGGTATGCAAGGTTTGAAGGGGGTTAATCCATAAAATCTATCCCTTTTAAGAGTAAATGCCGATGCCATCCTTTAATTACCTCCATTCTGCCATCTTTCTTAGTAGCAGGGAGAGGAATCTTGACAGGCTGAAGTTTGTAGATCAGAATTAAATCTATCTTGTGTGGATGCAAACCTGAAACATGAAACAGAATAATAATTCAATATAGAACATTAGTGTTTAGTAAAGGATTTTAGGGCGCTTCTTGCCCATCTTCTCTTTCAACTTTTAATTGTGGCTCTTATCTGTTTATCATCTCATATTTGTACAATATAAAACACTAACAAAAAAGTTCATAGATTTAATAATATTTTTTTTTTGTAATTTTTCAAAAATTTTTAAGATTACGTAGTTCCGTTAGAACTAAGAATTTTACCAAATTAATGTTTGACCGATTCTAAAATCTAATTATCATTTTTCAATTTGCAAAATAATCATGGACCATCCTAAGAATCCTTTTAACATATTCTGAAAAATATTTTCAAGATCTCATTCACTAAACTGATCAATGAACCTTTTATTAATAAATGAATGATACACTTTATATTAAGAGAACACAAAGAAAACCTATATTTGAAGGGCATGAAAGAGACTGTAGGCATAATTTCAAGTGACCTTACGTTTGTAGAGTGGCATGTCCGATTCACATCATTCCCCTCACAGGCTAAAATCGACGAGAAATTTGCTAATTACTTCTTGAAATCCAAAGCTAACAAATACAACAAGTGCGTTATAGTGCTAAAATGTAAAGGGCTTTAGAAACGATAAATGAGTTTGGCGGTAAAATCTAAGCCCAAGGCAATGTGACACTTAAAAGGCAACTCTGTCTTGAAAATTGATGAGACTGTTTATAAGCAGACTGAATCTGACCCTTTGACTGATAAAGAATCGTGGGCTGTCCTTTTCATTTATCAAAAGAAATGCTTTGATTGCAAGATATTGTAAAAATAAGAAATATTTATATTTGCTTTCTTTAGTAGTTTCAGAAAATAAAAATTTACATCGAATTCTAAAAGCTTCGTCGACCGTCGTATACAGAGTATTCTGGATTGAGTAATATAAGTAGCTGCGTTTAGTTCACCCTGATTGCTATCGTACAATCCAGTTTTACGGTAATTTAAACATTATTATAAAAATAAATACACAGAGTTCTCTAACTTTTTTGATCAGTCAAAAGTTTAAGGGTACCGTTATAAATATCTGGTATTTCTCACTTTGCATAAAGGGGTCTATCAAAATTATGCTTACAGTTCCTTTAAAAGTGGAAGTTTTGTTTTATTCTGATACGAACATAGCGTATTATTTGAATAAGAACGGAAAGAAACCGTTAGAAACGTTGATTAAGAAAATGCAACCCAACCTTTACCATCATACACGTACAAAAGGTAGAATTACAAAAGGTAGAATTACAAAAGGTAGAATTACAAATGGTAGAATTACAAAAGGTAGAATTACAAAAGGTAGAATGACAAAAGGTAGAATGACAAAAGGTATACTGTTAGAAATGCCATTTTGCAAATTTTCAATATGATTATATTTCAGGCCAATATAACCAGTATATAGAAGACATTCATTGATATATCGTTTAAATTTTGAAATATAAAAGCGGGTTTTTCTAACAGTGTAGAACAATAAAAAAGTAGAACGTTCAAAAGGTAGAATTACAAAAGGTAGAACGTTCAAAAGGTAGAATTTTTTTATTATTGAGAAGGAAGAAAATTTTCTAATTTTTAAAAGAAAATCCGCGAATTTTAAAAAAAAAATTCACAAAACTGCAATTCTCGGTTGAATTCAGCATGGAGAGGTTGGTCAACTATGGGGTGAAGCAAAAGAAGAAAAGAACATTGATTGACGACCAGAAATATGAATATAATTTTGAGAAAATTAAGAATGGAACAGAGTTCAGCCAGTGGTGCAAACAGCACTGAGAACGCTCGCAAACAAAAACAGAGAGATATGCACCAACTAACAGCCTTGCACACGTGCATCTGCACCACAAAATCTATATTAAAATAAGAAAATCTTCATTTCTTCAATATTCTTCAAGTTTGCGATAATGGAAATCCTACAAGTGCAATTTGGTTGGAATTGATGAGATTTTAGATCTGCAAGCTTTTAATCCTAGAGGGGTGCGAGAGCATTTGTGTAGGGGGGGGGGCACATTTTGCCCGCGTCAGCGCGCAAAAAAATTGTGCCCCCCCCCTTAAATACCTATTTTTTGGAAAAATATTGATACCTTTATTACTTATTAAACTATTCGATCGTATGTGTGTATACTACTACTAGTTGTGTATATTACAATGTGTTAATAAATTATTTATGTAATTATCTTAAGTGGACTCATCAGACACTTCCTCTTGATACTGTGGTGTAAGCTTCTATGGGTGAAAAATAGAGATGGAAGCGTTTCTTTAAAAATATCTATATTTTCAAAGGATCGTTACATATAGTATTATAAATAATGATATCAGATACATATTTACGTTGAAGGAAGAATAGAAGCTTTTTTAATGAAACTTTTTTAGTCAAGGTGGAATAGTGAGATTTTTTATTATACGATGTAATCATACTTGCATGGAATACATGATTAATTTTAAGTCAATTTTGTAGAGAAACCACAAATAAAGATAATCAGTTTTCAAAATGAGAAACATGGATACTTAATGCAATACTTGATCAGAGAAAGCTTTGAAGGGTATTGTTGTGAATCAGAATATAATTTATTTCTTTTCTTAATCTTTTAGTTTGAGTGAATGCAATGTAGAATGTAGATTGCCTTAGGAAGGGAAATGCGATCAGATGTAATATTAAAAGAGCCCCCCCCCACATGGGTGCCCCCCTCGTACGCCCCTGTCTAATCCTGATTATATTTTTGGCAGAGGTAACATACTGATTTATATAGACAGGAGAAGCAAAGATGCAAATCCCAGTCACACGACATAGTAAGATGAAAATTACATTATTTATACATTTATTTATATCTCTATAACATTGAATATTATCTTTTTTTATCGGTAACAAACATTATTCTTTATATTCTTTATTTATCGTAAACTTAGAGTAAATCTTCTTCTATCTATATAATAAAGCTCTTCGCTCATATATATATGTCAGCTATAGCTGGCCAAACGGCTGGACTGAATGGGCTGATTTTTTTACGGAACCCATATGTACCCATTTTTCAAAATTCGATTTCAGCACTTCAGTTGGTATAAAATTTTCTTTTATTTAGTAAATACATTTTTGGTCGTTAAAGGGACTAGCAACGTAATTTCAATGGACACCCCATTTAAAGAGTTTATGATGAACGACGGCGTCATTAAAAACCTTTCACCAACCTTTTACTAAATATCTAAAGATTTTAAAAATATGCTTTTTAATAGTGTTTATCTCTAAAAACGTCTTATTTAGTTCAAAACATTGCAAATATTTGCTTATGTATGGTTTCAGCAGAGAAAAAAAAACATATTTTTGGTGAATTTTCTTCAAGATTTTATTTCTAAAAACCTGGGAATTGAAAAAATCTACCTGTTGGTATTTCTGTAGACAAATGAATCTTCACCAAAGTTACCAATTCAGTTCTGAAACATTTATGGACAAATAAACAAATAAAGAATACAGGATACACTTGATATACTGGATATGGAACACAGTATACAGTTGATATACTGGATACAGAATACAGAATACAGTTGAAAAACTGGACATAGAATACAGGATACTGTTGATATACTGGATATAGAATACAGGATATAGTTGATACAGGGGTATAGTTGATATAATGGATATAGAACACATGATACAGTTGATACAGGGATACAGTTGATATGCAGTAAATGCCCTACTCCATAAGGGTTTCTCAAACCCGTATCTATCCAGGTACAATTCAATTTCACTTTACTGTCAATGTCAAAACCGGACACGACCTCGTAAACTATCAATGCCAAACCAATGGACACGATCTCGTCAGCTATCAAGTCAACACAGACACAAGGTCGTAAACTATCAATGCCAAACCAATAGGATACTGTAATAATTATAGTGATAAACCCCACATTTTGTAGATCTGAACATACCCATATATATTACATTATAACATTAACTATGTTCATTAATTTCTGAACAAACCTATCGGTCCATCTTATTAACATGTACTTTAAAACCCATCATTAATTTAAATATAGATCAAGTGGATATGAATCTTTGCTTTATTACGTTTAGGCACATATTATTTCCTGTATAGAGAGCATCCAGTTCGAGAGCGAGTTGTATCTGAACGATACATACTAAAGTATACATATAGTGTCGTATCTGGATTGATACAGACTGAAGACATTGAGTTAGAGAGCTAGTTGTATCTGAACGATACATACTAAAGTATACATATAGTGTCGTTTCTGGATTGATACAGACTGAAGACATTGAGTTAGAGAGCTAGTTGTATCTGAACGATACATACTAAAGTATACATATAGTGTCGTATCTGGATTGATACAGACTGAAGACATTGAGTTCGAGAGCTAGTTGTATCTGAACGTTACATACTAAAGAATACATATAGTGTCGTATCTGGATTGATACAGACTGAAGACATTGAGTTAGAGAGCTAGTTGTATCTGAACGTTACATACTAAAGAATACATATAGTGTCGTATCTGGATTGATACAGACTGAAGACATTGAGTTCGAGAGTTAGTTGTATCTGAACGATACATACTAAAGTATTATTGGAGAATATAGTTCGAGAGTGGGTTGTATCTGGATTGATACAGACTTAAAATAACTATTGGAGTGAGGCATGTGTTACAAAACAATATACAGAATTTAAGGATAACAGATCTGGGGTTTACAGAAAAATCGATAATAAAGCACAGGAATATCATTAGAAATTATAGATTCAGGAAAATACAAAATAGCATTATTGATCAATCAAATCAAGAATTAGAAAGTATAGAAATATTAGGAATAAGGGACGCAACCTGGAGCCCCCCCCCCCCCTCCCACACAAACTATAAAACGTTGTGACATTAAAATGTTACATCTAAAATATTTCAGAGTAACAAAATTGAAACTTTAAAACAATTTTCACGCCAATATTAATGATGCACAAAATATACATTCATGCAGACACATGTATAGATAAATATATATATAAAGTAGTAATCTTTTTTTGTATGTCCGATTATAGCTCATGAACCCCTGTACCGATTTGCCTCAAATTTTGATTTGTGAACTGGGAAGAACCACGGGAATGTTCTTTGCTCGGTTCTGAGATTCTAAGTTGAGTGGGAAAAATAGCTAAAATCATAATTTACGAACAAGCGCGGGTAAACGGTGGGAGTAACTAAAAAGTACCCTGGGCAACGCGGGGTTCTCAAGATAGTTTATTTTTATAAAGCAATAATCTCTGTTTGTCTGTCTGTTTTCTCGGATGTCCGATCATAGCACAAGAACCCATGGACCGATTTGACTCAAATTTTGTTTGGGGAACTATAGAGAAACACAGAAATGTTCTTAGCTTGGTTTTCAAATTCTAAGTTGAGTTGGTCAAATTCTATAAGAAAGACTCCCAGCAAAGCTGGGTTCCACCGCTAGTATGTATATAAAGTAATAATCTTTGTTTGTTTATTTGAATGTTCAAGCAAAAATCAAGAACCACTTGACCGATTTGCCTTTCATTTTGATTTGAGAACTCGGTAGAACCACGGGAGTGTTGTTTTAGCTTGGTTGAACAATTTTAAATTGACTTTTATAGCAAAAGGTTAGGTTCCCAAGCTAGAACAATATATAAATATATTCTAACCTTGGTGGTTGTGGAGTGTCTGCATCACTTGTATTGTCCTCCAAATCATCATCAATTTGAACTTCAACTAGACTACTGGATCGGACCAGATATATCACCTAATACAAGGAAACTGATTTGAACTTCAACTAGACTACTGGATCGGACCAGATATATCACCTAATACAAGGAAACTGATTTGAACTTCAACTAGACTACTGGATCGGGCCAGATATATCACCTAATACAAGGAAACTGATTTGAACTTCAACTAGACTACTGGATCGGACCAGATATATCACCTAACAGAAGGAAACTGATTTGAACTTCAACTAGACTACTGGATCGGACCAGATATATCACCTAATACAAGGAAATTGATTTGAACTTCAACTAGACTACTGGATCGGACCAGATATATCACCTAATACAAGGAAACTGATTTGAACTTCAATTAGACAACTGGATCGGGCCAGATATATCACCTAATACAAGGAATCTGATTTAAACTTCAACTAGACTACTGGATCGGACCAGATATATCACCTAATACAAGGAAACTGATTTGAACTTCAACTAAACTGCTGGATCGGGTCAGATATATCACCTAATACAAGGAAACTGATTTGAACTTCAACTAGACTACTGGATCGGGCCAGATATATAACCTAATACCAACGAGGTGTTAGTATATAGAGTGATGATGTACGCTAATCCTTTACTAATTGTACAGGCCATGAACTCCACTTTCAAAGGTCAATCTGTATATTACAGTACTCGGGGGTGATTTATGAAAATATTTAAATTGAGAATTTGTTTTCCATGAAACTATTAAAATCCACAACTCCTTTATCGTGTGCAGGATTCCATTTTCACAGGGAGACATACTATTACAGTTTTTTACAGAGCAATATTTTATCGTTAATAAACTGTTCTAAGAAAACTGAGTAAAATTCAAGATATAAAAGAATACTGCATATTTAATATTTTTACTGTATGAATAGGCCATAATCATATTTAATATTTCAGTTTGTTTAATTCTAGGATATAATTTACAAAAACAAAAAATTGAAAAACTTGAAACTTTTTAATTTGAGGATTAATTTATTTTTAGAAATAATTGCTTCATGGAACAGATCACATTTCCATTGTAACCAGCACCAGCACTTGTTTTTAAACAATTCTTTAACAAGAGCAACACCAGCAAAAATTCCGTGACGTCAAACAAAAAGTTTCAGGAGTCAAAAACGTGAGTTTTTATAAATAATTTGTCACCGTTGGACCCCGCTTCATGAAATATTGATCAAATTCTATTTTGATTAAGCTTATACAGGGTTACCCACAAACAATGAGACTTATGACGACCGAAAACCTTTTCAACGTGATAATCTTGAATTGGTCTTCTGTCGTGAATAAAGTTTTCAAATGATTAACTGAACGCCGAATGCCGAATGAACGATTTGTGCAAATAAAGAAACAAGTTTGCAGTTGCAGGAAATCTTAAATATGAAAAATGTATACATGTAATTTGAAAAAAAGTAAGAATTATTTTTCACCTTCTCCCTAGTCTCACAGTCAAAGAACTCCTTGAGCACCTTCTTGTTCTTCCCGGATTCCTCGACAATGAAGTCCACCCAGGACTTGTCCGACACACCCGGCCAGAGCATCCGGATCCGGCTCTCCAGGAACCATAGCCGGAGATCTTCCATGATCTATCCGGTTCAACTGTGGCCAATCGATCGGATGTCCATCACTAAAATAAAAAGTTTAGAATTGCTGGAAAACTACAAAAAATAATATTACATGGCCCTCCCTTGAAATTAATCAATCCTGATCAATCCTGAGCAATCAGGATAATTTTTTCTAATACTAAAGGGACCGTTCACTTATTTGGATAATTTGAGGGTAAACTAAATAGCCTATTAGCTATTCATTATTATTAGTCTTACTTTTCAAAGGACAACAGTTGAAAATCCGTTTTATGATTCAGAATTCCAGCGCTAAGGTATATGATACTTTTGCATTTAAACTATTTAATGCTTTTTGTCATAGTCATGGATTTTTTATAGTTTTAAATATTAAATTTAATTCTTGTATCTCTAGTTAATTGTAGATATCTTTTTTTTTAAACATTATTTTTAAATTGTCTATTTTCAAAATATAACTTATTTTTAACATTTGACAGCTTGCTACGGTTTAACTGAGAGAGAAAGTCGTCTTTGTATAAGCGTGTTAATCTTTTAAATCATGTTTAAACACAAAAAAACGTCAATTTCTTGTTTATTCTAAAATCAAAAGTTTTTATATTTTATCATATAATGGCTGACACATGATGTCATTGAAACATGATAATTTTAGATTTTATTGGGCTGTTGTTACTGAAAAAACGTTTGAATAATGTCTATGCAAATGTATGATATCTTTCCGCTGGAATTCTAAACGATAAATCGGCTTTTTCTCCGGTCATAGATATATTTTAAAAGTAAGACTATTATCAATGAATAGTTAATAGGATAATTAGTTACCATGAAATTATACCCAAAGAAGTGAACGGTCCCTTTAAAGAGATGATTTAAAAAAAAACTAAATATCATGCTGTACAGTTTCCAGCATCTAAAGATTTCTAATCCTATGTTGGTTCAGTAAATTGTTTAATTTGTAAAACGTATTGTATAAAATTATATAAAAACCAACCTATGGGCATAACGCGGGGGCAAATATGATTGAAGCCCCCCCCCCCTTCCATCTTATTTATAGATTCTTATAGTCCCACGTCCTAGAAAATAATGTGTCCAATGTCCACATGTTTTTTTCAGAAAGTTATTAAAAAATCTATTTCTGCGTAGGGGTCCGCTGATCCCAGTATTTATCTCAAAACATTTATTTAAAAGCAACGTGAACCTACGAGAACATCAGTTTCTCAGTTCTTAGAGGATATTAAAGAGGGGTGTATAGAGAGAAGAAGGAGAGTTTTTCTACCGACTACCATGCATCGAAAACACGGGGAAAACCACGTGAAGTCACGTGCTACTCCTCAGAGTCCCTGTCACGTTATTTTCCAATTGTGCATGGCCTTCTTTAATCGATGAATACATTCTTTCTAACAGCCTCTTTTCACGTAGTTCAAGATAAACAGTATTTTAGAAAAAGAATTTTTCTAATCATTCACGAAAAGAATTTTTGTGGGATAAAAAAGCTTAATACGGTGTAGGCGGCTGGAACCGCTGAATCCTCGGTAAAATAAATTATGAAGGTTTGAAAAATAAAAAATGCATGGAAAGACTTTAAAGTTAACTCACTTTTTGTAAAACATTTGGAAAAAGACAAAGAAGTTTATGTTCTGAAAAGTGAAATATTTTGATCTGCAGGTGGGTTAAGCATCAGAATTATTTTTTTCATGAATTATAAAATTGTTTTTCTTTTTGGCAAATAGCCTAACAATTTTTCTGTAACTTTTTTCAAATATTTCACACAAAATATGAATCAAATTTGTAGGAATCCTATTATTTTCATCAAACTTTTAGGATTTTTTTTTTAATATTCTAAATATTGTCTTTTTTTCAAACTCATTCTTTAATGATTCAACTAGTTCAAAATCATCTCAAAACAACTCCATTAGTTCAAACTCATCTTTTCAAAAACACAGTAAATCTTGAGAATCATATTTCTCAAACTTTTCAAAAATAAAAAAAAACTCTTTAAATATAACGATATAATGATTTGATTTGTCTTTAGACCATAAAACTATTCATTAACTGGTCTGCTAAATGATTGCCAATGAAAAAAATAAGGGGAAGCTGGAATGTAAGATAAAAGATCGTACAATCGGCTCTAAAGTGTCATTCTTTAATTAGTCTTGAGTAAAGTTGATAATCAGAAAAACTTGTTAAAAAATCAAATTGCCCATTAAATCTTATAATGCAAGTAAACCTGGTTGAATTTTGACCATTTACTTCATTGCCTCGTAGCATGAATCCACAAATGTAACTTTTAAAAAATGAAGCCACGATTGAAAATAATATGTCATTCGGGCATTCCTTAAATGTTAAGTCTCTTGAAAAACACATCATCAGTTCTTTTAATGATTGTCAGCAAGTGTTGAATTTAAAATCTGTACAATTTTAAAAACTTACCGTAATGAGTATTAATTTTATTACAAAATTTAGTTTTTCAGGTTTTATAGTTAATGCTTGAATTAAATATTTTTGCCTTCTACTGAAAATATGTTGACTACTTTCTGTTTGTTCTAAAAAAACGCTTATTTTTTGCATTTTAATATTTGAAAGAGGAGGAATAAGAACACATCGCTCCCCTCATTTTTAGGCCTTAAAGGGACTGCAAACGTAATTTCAAGTGTGTCCTTGCATGCATAGAGTTTAGGGCATGTCCAATTTACAATGGTACTATTGAAACCTAATGATCAAGAATGAGAGTTTCATGTTTTCTTTGCTGAAAATTGATCAATTCCATTTGTCGTTTCTCTGTGAAAGTAACTTACGGATATTTCCAACATCAGCGAAGGAAATTATCCGAATCAGACACTTTTAAAAATAGAGAAAAATTCCTTATTGGAGCTCAAAAAAAGGTTTAAATAGTAAAGTTGTGAATCTTCTGTGATCTTATCTTTAATCATATCTACTCTGTAAAAAGAGGTATTTAGTAGAATTTGCTTTTTTTATACGTTAGCGTAAAATAAAAACTAGAGGTCTACAAGGTCACAAAGTGGTACCGATAATTTCTCTTAAACTTGACCTTTTCCTTAGGTCAATATTGGAATGGGAGAATCACTTGAATTATTGCGTGTTTACCGATCTCGCTTACATGAGTCATATTCCCAATTTAACACGTGATGAACATAATATATTTGCTATTTAGTCATACGGAGGACAGAGAAAAGTCCTGTCTGAACACACTTTTTAGATATTGTATCAATAATTTGCCAAATATAGATAATTTGATAAATTTATTAAATAAGTAATTTCTAACTCAAATATTTTATCAAGAATTTTAATTCTGAATTAAATCTATATCTATAGCATCCATATTGTGGTTAATGATATGGTTTTTTTTGTGGTATTGCAATTTGCTATTTGGTGCGTCCATGTTTGAAGGGGGGGGGGCAAAGCGGCGGCCACCCCAAAAATCTGTGGGGGGGGGCAACACTCTTGGATAGTTGAACTTGAGACTGTACGTGATCGTGTCAAACTAAAAAAGATTAACATCAACTTTTAATGGGAGACACATGAAATTACGTTTACAGTCCATTTAAAAGTTAGTTTTTACAGCCTTAAAAGAAGTAAAGAAGATGCGAAGTTTACTGATTTAGGGCTATGTATGTAATAAATATTGTGTAATACTATATCTGTAAACCTGAATTACATTGTACATTATTAATTATTTATGTAATAAATACGTACATAAAACTCATATCATGATTTATACTAAACTGCTCTGTAAATAACTACATAACATGATTAGCTTAATTACATTGTATATATGTATATCGACGTAAAACTTGTAATTACGTCGATTAACGTTAACTTTTAACATAGAAACCTCAAATATATTTAGTTGGAATAGACTCCGCCTTTATTGTGGTGAGAGATTAATTTGTTCCTTGTTTTAACAACCGAGTTGACGAGATCGTGTCTGGTTTGACATTGATGACTGAAGAGATCGTGCCCAGTGGTTTGGCACTGATAGTTTACTAGCTTGTGTCTGTGTTGACATTAATAGCTGACAAGATTGTGCCCAGTGGTTTGGTATTGATAGTTTACCAGTTTGTGTCCATGTTGACATTGATAGCTGAAGAGATTGTGCCACTGTTTGGTATTGATAGTTTACTCGCTTGTGTCCATGTTGACATTGATAGCTGACAATTTTGTACCCATTGGTTTGGTATTGATCTCGGAANGTGCCCAGTGGTTTGGCATTGATAGTTTACTAGCTTGTGTCCGTGTTGACATTGATAGCTGAAGAGATTGTGCCCCTGTTTGGCATTGATAGTTTTCTCGCTTGTGTTCATGTTGACATTGATAGCTTAAGAGATTGTGCCTGTGCTTGGTATTGAAGTTCACGAGCTTGTGTCCATGTTGACATTAATAATGGAAGAGATCGTGCCTGTGTTTGGCAATGATAGTTTACTCGCTTGTGTCCGTGTTGACATTGATAGCGGAAGAGATTGTGCCCTTGTTTGGCATTGATAGTTTATTTGCTTGTGTCCATGTTGACATTGATAGCGGATGAGATCATGCCCATGTTTGGCATTGATAGTTTACGTTCTTGTGTCCGTGCTGACATTGATATTGGAAGAGATTGTGCCTGTGTTTGGCAATGATAGTTTACTCGCTTGTGTTTGTGTTGACATTGATAGAGGAAGAAATCGTGCCAATGTTTGGCATTGATAGTTTACGATCTTGTGTCCGTGCTGACATTGATAGCTGATGAGTTGTACCTGGATTGATACTTATCTGAGAGCAGTTTTAGGAGTAGGGAGTAGGGAAATGTACTTCTGTGATTTTGTGTTTGTTTATATTCATCCATAAACTATAATAGCCCCCCCCCCCTTATTGCTACTTTTTATTTTATAGTCAAGAATCAATATTCAATAGTCAATATGCAGTCTTATTTGTTGCCAACAGGGTCTACAATTTAAGGACTACATATATACACTACTAGCTGGAGGGCCAGGCGTTGCCCGTGGAATAATAAATGTGAAGAAATAATTTTTTCAATAAATGAATAAATTTGTTTCGCTACTTAGCGATTTCCCTAAAGACCTAATATATGTACCATGTGGTATTTCTCAAGACCGGATCGTAGGACTTCCTTCTCTCAACGCTCTTCATAACAAAAGGATGATAATAAGGTTCCGAACGTTTATTTCTCTGAGTCTTCAATCTAAATAAGTTTAATAAACCCACAGAAAAAGCTTTGAGTGATAAATCATACGAATACAGCAAATAATCCACTCAGGCATTAAAAAACTGTGGCAAGGAACCAACAAACACATAAAAAATATCAATCATACTATAATCAACCGATAAGCATATGTAAATATAAGAAATAATTACCACAGTGATCCCAGAATTCTGGACACGGTTAAACTTGCAAGACAAATAAACATATACTAATATAAAACTGTTCACTCCCACGCGAGAAATTTTGCGCCTGCGTAGTCAGTCTGTAAACAGCTTCTAAAACTAGTTTTTCACAATACATTCTGTACAGATCCGCAGGGAGAACTCAGAAACTCACAGGGGCATCACATAGACTTCATACATCAGAATTCTGGACACGGTTAAACTTGCAAGACAAATAAACATATACTAATATAAAACTGTTCACTCCCACGCGAGAAATCTTGCGCCTGCGTAGTCAGTCTGTAAACAGCTTCTAAAACTAGTTTTTCACAATACATTCTGTACAGATCCGCAGGGAGAACTCAGAAACTCACAGGGGCATCACATAGACTTCATACACGCAGCATGGCTCACGTAACAAAATTAAATAAAATTTTGAAAAAAAGAAATTTGATTTTTTTTAGCCTATAACACCCCCGGCTACCCATGAGTGTCCAAAAAAAAATTCAGCCCAATCGGTCAAGCCGTTTGGCCGGTTTTCAGTGACATATATGCGAATGTCTTGTTTTATTTTATAGATGTATCCAATTCCAACAATCTGTTATGGTCCTGTATGCTCATTAGTCATCACTCTCACTCCTCTTTAGTTTCTGATATGGTGAAAACCAGAAAAAAATGGAATAGGCTGACGAGGTACCAATACTTACGTGTATTTGATGTTGTTGAAGCAAATAGTTTTACTATAGATACTAATGCAATCATTAGTTTAGTGAAATGGCTCTGTTTACACTGCACAATTGTTATTGTCTCTTGCTCATTGGACTATTTACATTGAGTTATAATTTGGTTCTGAGTTTTGTGGTTATCAATTTATCATCTGTAAACATAATTTCGTGTATTCAAGTCCCCCCCCCTTCTTACTCTATAGGTAGGGTCTATTGCAAATCCATACTCCATAACAATTTACTCGAGACGTATCTATCCAGGTCTATCCATTAACATAATCAAACAGGACCGACTCTAAATGACACACAACACAAGCGTCCAATAACATACGACAAATCTCAGACTATATTTAACCAGGACAGCTCTAAATGCCACACAGGGACACACACATCCAATAGTATAAGACTCACTCTCAGGCTTTTACACAAGCAGTTCCTCAACTCGAATAATTCAACGAGGACCCAAGCTATCTTTCAAGCTATATATTCAATTCAATGCTAAATCAACTAGCAAAGATATATGCTTGTATGTTTCAATATGAGCCAAAGCTTTATGTAAGCTTAATATGCTTCTGATAACTTAATTAAAAGCGGATTCTCAATCAACTGATCTATATTTTGAAGTTCATATTTGAATTGGTTTTTTTAGATCTTAATTACAAGTTATGAACGGTTACTATCTATAATGCATTAAATCACATTTATGGGTATGACAAAGTTATATCTATCTATGAACATGGAATGTGTTAATCGTATTACAGGTTATTATGTGAACGAATGACGACGTATATTACATTAGGCCCAAGTTTTGCTACAGGTCAAGCAATTAGTATGGTTTACAGGATGTATTGGAATAATCAACAAAAAAGTGCGCAGTAAAAACTTGCTTTATTACCGTGATTTATTTGAAATTTTTTCTTAAACTCTAGAAAATATTTGCAATCAGTTTTAAAACTTTCAGGGTCAAAGCCTAAAATAGTTGATCAAATCTTTGACAAGAAAAAATTTTAAATGCATTTTTTTTATTAACAATCTATTGAAAAACTTAATATGAATGTATAAAAAAAGAAAAAAATAACAAAGATTTATTGAAAAGAATTTGTCGCATGTTTAATCATGGAATCACTTGGGGAAGTTCACGTTGACACGAAAATTTGTTTGAAAAGAAAATTCATTAACCTAACCTAAATATTAATATATATAACTCCATCAAACCCACATTGTGATTAGCTAACTACGTTATATATATATAACAACACATAACTTGTAATTACGCTGTTAAAACCTAATTTAAATCTAACACCTAGAAATATATTCAGTTAATATAGAGACTCCGCTTTGATTACTGCGAAAGAGTAATTTGGTTCTCGTTGAAGCATACAAGCTGAGATTGTGCCCATTGGTTTGGCATCAATAGCTGACGAGATTGTGCACGCTAGTTTGGCATTGATAGTTTACAAGCTTGTGTCAGGGTTCCGGTTTAGACATTGGCAGCAAAGTAAAACTGAGTTGTACCGGTTTTGCGGAACCCTTATGGAGTAGGGCATTTGTTACAGTGCGCTCTTGAAAGAAACTACGTCAAACTAAATTAAGTTTAAATCTATCATAACTCCCCTTTTCGTGGAGGAATTGAGAAGAAAGAACAGAAGTGCTTTGAATTTTTTTATTTGTAACTTTATAATTGTCGGCCCACTTCGCGCGCAATATTTCAATTATTTCCCACCCATGCAATCTGGAAAATACCATATGCCGCCTCTGATAAATATACACTTTTTCCAAAATATAGAAATCCTCTCATTTAAAAAGATCTTCTTGGATCATTTAATGTTAAATAAAAGTTTTCGTGTAAATACTAAATATTTTCTTTAGAAATAGAATCCAACTAAATAGATTTGAACTGTCTGTAATATGCAAAATTATAGTAAATTAAAACCGATACTTTTTAAAAAATTGCCTCTATAATCAGGCGCGTAGTGAAGGGGGGTCGGTACCCCTGTGCCCCCTAGAAATGCACCCCCCTAGAGCCGGAGGCAGGCTCTAATTTATTAAACAGTAAACTTACATATATATTCAGATTTTTTACTTTTCTTATCAATCGACAATGTCACAATTTGTCCATTTTATGATTATTTCTCAAATTCTTTCTGAATGGAATACTGTTCTAACCCGTTTTTTAATGGTTCAAAACAGCTGCATGTTTCCATAACTTCTTACCAAATTTTCTTATTTTAACCCATTGATTGAACAATCTTCATCAACAATATGTATAATGTAGATGCAAACATTACCCATTTATTGGTTAAGGAATATATAGGGAAATTTGAGAACATTTCCATCAACAATGTTTTGGGACATCTTTTCTCTCACAAAGCGCTACAAAATACAGAATAAGGTATCGTGAAAAAGCTTTAAATAATACTGTTTCCAGGTCTTTAACTACTAGATTTTATAATGGTATGATAGGTAATAGTCAGCCTTCAGGTAGATTAAGATTTAAAACTTTATTTTTTACTTAATACCGGTTTTTTAGGGGGTTATTTATGAATTTAGCAAAATACAATGGTTTTACAGTTTTTACTAGATCAGTAAAAGATAAAGATAATTTCAAATAATTTGCTTCCGCACTTCATTGCGCTTCGCACTTCTTATTTAAATGTTACTGTTACCTAGGCCATAAACCACCTCAGAATCGTGTGAAGTATCTCGATAAAATTTGGACCCGATCAATAAGTCGTTATACTCGATTACTATGTTTGTTTATTTTCTATTTCTATATAAATTAGAAATTACAAACCAACCAACCTGGAGTTCTTACACTGCGGCTTTTCTTTATAACTATAACAAAAACTGTATGTGTTTATAATACTGAAATTCCGAGGCAATAAAAGCTTGGTCAATAACACGTTGTTGTTAAATTTATTGATTTATTATGAAAATGTTAGATCAATACTTGCGCATTGGTTGGAATTAAAGAAAGTTTTCCAATATAATAATTAATTCATTCTGATGGTAATTAGTGATTTATCGATTAAAATATATTTAGTTTTTTTTAATTTGTACGTTACGTGGTAAATTTTCTATTTCTGCTAAGATTAGTTTAAATGTCGTCTTTCATGAAATATTAATTGAGACTTAAGAATGAAATAAATGATTCAAGGGGGCTGAACTGAACAAATGATCAATAATGGCGGAATTCGTTTTAAATCTATAAGAGGGGGGGGGGGGTTCGGGCCTTTAAGAATGGAGAGATGATGACTGAGGAGCTCAGGAGGAAGGCAGAGGCGGGGCTTGATCCTCCTCCCTGTACGACCATGAAAGCGGTGGCTAAGCGCCCGCCCCCCTACCGGCCCCTAATAATTTAAACCAGGTAATGCCTTGTAATGCCTTAAACTATATTTTACATGAAGAACAAATTCTTATTTATTAATTCCTATAGATAAAACAGTTTTATCCATTCCTTCCTCTCTAAATATGTCGTTAGTTTAAAGTACAGTGAAACCCTTAGAAAGAATTCATCAAATGTGGTATTCTTCACTTTCTGATAATGGAATGTTTTTTAATTAAATGATTATATGGAACTCTTTAAAACTGTTCCTGCATATTTATGGCTATTTATTTATTTTCGTAAATACTAAAATTTACGTAATATAGTATAAAACTCATTGAAAAATTGTCAACACGACATTGGATAAATTCTTCCGATGTATTAAGGGTTTCACTGTATTATTTTACGAAAGAAAGATATAAGTTGCATCTTTTTTAACGTGACATTTTTTTATTAAATTCCAATTCAATAAATCCAAGCTGAGGCAATGAGAGGCATGAGATCACATTTCTAACCTAATCTAGAAAATAATACAACTTTTTGGGCATGTCACTTTTTCAGTTTTCATTTTACAAATAGACTTGTTTTTTTTCAATATTTTTTTAAATTTTTTCTTTCTAGAACAATAACTGGGTTTAAAAACATTTTTTACAAAAAAAACTAAATTATAATATATTGTTCAGAAATCAGAATAGCCATTAATTTTTTTCATTTCTATTTTTACGATCGCAAATGAAATGAAATTAAATATTGTGGATTAAATAATTGTGTGAAAATCCAGCAATTTCTGTTTTTTTTTGTATATTTTATAATTTGGTTAGTAGCTAAACATAATTAAGCAATACATGTGTGCACTGTGCTGTGCAGTGAAAATATGTATCTGCGTTCATCATGAAAATATTTTAATCTTTGCAGTATCAGCCTTGCAAGGCCGTTGGGTATAGTAGAGGGCTGTGACGTAACTCAGCACTTGATCTATGAAAATAAGATCTACTGATAATTGAACATTTTGTAGATACAAAGATTGGAACTTCAGAATGAATGATTTTACAATACAATTTAAGAGATTCTTTTGTATCCTAAAAATGTCTCCAACATCTCAAAAGTACTGGAATGGATCTATACTGTCTCTGGTCTATATGATGACAGAAAAAAGGTTCTACTGTTTTTAGTATCTCAAGAATCCATAGAAAGGTTCTACTGTTTTTAGTATCTCAAGAGAGCAGAGAAAGGTTCTACTGTTTTCAGTATTTCAAGAGAGGAAAAGAAAGGTTCTACTGTTTTCAGTATTTCAAGAGAGGAAAAGAAAGGTTCTACTGTTTTTAGTATTTCGATACTGTTCGTAGTATCTCGAGAGAGGATCGAGAAAAAGTTTTACTGTTTCTAGTATCTCAACTCTAAACGGAAAAACAAACACAATAAACATACGAGGATTGCAAGGCTGTAATCCCCCTCTCTCTTGCTTAGATTTAGTAATCAAAGTAATTGTTAAGGATTTTCAGAGGTCAACAATTCGCGGATTAGTAGTAAGTGTCCTAGACTCCCTAGCATTTCGGATCTGTATCCAGATCCCAATGTGACAGAAAGCGTTATAGAAAGGTTCTACTGTTTCTAGTATTCCAAGAGAGAAGAGAAAGGTTCTACTATTGCTAGTATGTAAAGAGATCAGAGAGAGGTTCTCTTTTTTTAATATTCCAAAAAAGAGGAGAGAATGGTTCTACTTTTTTTTGTATCTCAAGAGAGGAGAGGGTAAGGTTCTAATTTTTCTAGTATCTCAAGAGAGCAGAGAAAGGTTCTCCTGTTTCTAGTATCTCAAGAGATGTCTTATATATGTATTGTTCAACGCCTGAGATGATCAGGTTTCATTCTATATCCCCTTTCATTTTTCCTTTACAGTCCCTTTAACCCTAATTAAATTTTCTATCAAAACCTTTTGAATCATTTGGTTTTTGCATCCAGTATACTAGGTCCCTCGACGTATCATCTCTAAATCATTTTGATTTCTGTATCCAGTATACTAGGTCCCTCGACGTATCATCTTTAAAACATTTTGTTTTCTGAATCCAGTATTAGGTCCCTTGACGTATCATCTTTAAATCATTTTGTTTTCTGCATCCAGTATTAGGTCCCTCGACGTATCATTTTTAAAACATTTTGTTTTCTGCATCCAGTATTAGGTCCCTTGACGTATCATCTTTAAAACAAACTATTCTTATCTATTTCTATTCTAAAACTCATGAAATTCGATATAAGTGAATTTGTTCACTGACTTAACATAAACTTAATGAAGCATATTTTTTTACACCAGATAGTCATTTTTCTGATGCATGTTTTTAATATTTATCGTTATATATAAATAGACTGAATTTGGGTTAAATCCTTCCGTTGCATTTTATAGTTATAGGGGCTTAGTTTATTTTACAAATGGGGGTCCGAGCAACATCTAATTCTTCGTCCTTCGACAATATTACTTTTCTTAAGTGTTCAGTCCTTGAAGAAAGGTGGCTGCTTTAGCCTAGCATAAAAGAAATTAAAATATTTGCAATTGAATTTCAGTTTTGAAATGCAGTTTTGAAATGCTGCGTAATGTTCCGAGTTCTACAATCGTTTTTGTAATGATTATATCAAAAACCATAGAATTTTTTCAGGGTGGTTTTATGGGAAATGTTTAAGGCAGAGGTTTAAAAAATATTTTATTATTTATTTTATATCGTGAAGAGATTTGAGTTTTACCTAAATAAAGTTTGAAATCAATAACATGGATTCGAGGATGAAGTCATTGCAATACTTCAGCCTAACAACAGTCTATGCCCTAACGTAACCAGATTAAAAAATGTATTATCTTCAAGGATTGGACAAAATAATATTGGTAGGACGAGGATTTCGAGGTAGCTCGGACGAGACACCGAAAAGAATGTGGCGAAGACGAAAAATTGTTGTGGCTGGGCTTCCCCCCTCTCCTGGTGTATAACTTCTCACATGACCTCACTTCAATATCCAAAATCCGGATTTTTAAAATCTACCTATGTAAACAGAAAAAACCTTGTTGATATTTTTACGAGCAAAAAAGTTTTGATTAAAATAACATTCATGGCGAATTGAAACATCTGAGAAATCTTTTTAAAAAATTATCTTTAACTCTTTGAGATTTGAGATTTATTATGAATTATTTTCGCCCCTATAAAAATATGTTAAAGTTCTAATAATATCTGGCTTGAAGACTAAAAGCTTGAGATGTCTGGAACAAGTCAGCAACAAATATTTAAAAAAGTTCAATGCTCGCAAGTCAGGACAATCTTAAACATGAAGAATTTCAGGGGTATTAATTTTTTCGACAAATTAAAAAAATTAAAAAAAATTTTCACGGGAAAGTTAATAATTTACTGTTCAATTCCACAAGTTCAAATTACTTTTTTCTAAACGTTTCCCAATTTTTGTTTGATGGATTCATTAAAGTTAAGATTAATATGGGCGGGGGGTAATCACTCTCGGTGCTTTAACCCTATCTCTGCTGGGGTACTTGAAAACCAGGATATGCTGGGGGGGGGGGTCAATTTGACCCCCCCTCTAAATCCCATGTTTGATGTCCAAATATGACAAATGATACATCATTGGAAAGCTCTTGTGCTCTACTTTTAGAATCTGCAAAAAAATTTGCAAATTTGCAAAAATTGAATTTTTTATCGCAAAATCCAGTTGTATAGTAAAAATGTTTGCAAAAAAAATTTGTCCTAAAAATGAAAAATTATACATTTTTGAAAATCCCTTGACCATGCTATTTCAAATATGCAAAAATTTTTGCAAAATTTTAAATAACCTGATTTTTAATCAAGAAAAACTAAAAATGTGCAAATTTCCTTTAACAGGTTGTTTTAAAAAAATTTACAATTTTTTTTCGCGAAACTTGTGCAATTCGTTTCCTTATGTCAAAGGCTTTCCAAAAAGCTAAATTTTATCAAAATCTGACAAGTGGAAGTGGGTCAAAACAAAGATTTAGTTTGTTACAGGAAAAAGCAGTCATTTAGGCAGTGTGCCTGAGGACTCAGGCAGTTAGTATTAAAGCCCGGTTTTAGGCCTAAAGGGAGGGCTTTGGGTATGTAGGAAAAGTCAAAAAATTTCAACAGCCTCAGACCAAAACTTTTTGAGTTATGTAAAAAAAAACTACAGGGGGGGTCAAATTGAATAGGGTTAATAGGAGGAGGAGTGATTTCTCAGGGAGTGCGAATTTAGAAAAGCTTCCGCGTGAATATTAGTCATGGACCTCTCCCTCTATACCACCCCGACAGTATTAAAAAGTTCAATTTGAAGTTTTACATAACATTTTAATAACCAAAGGACAAAAACAATGAAAAGCTCCGATTTTTTCGGTTTTCTTTTGTTCAATGTTTTTATTAAAAAATATGTGGCCTAAAAAAGTTACAGGATTAATCAGAACATTTATTTAGTTGATTTAAAATGCATGGACTGTGAAATTAATTTCATGCGACCTTTCATTTAAAGAGTAAAACTTCCGATTCACAATGGTATCTGTTAAACCTATATCTG